TAATAGTAAGTTAACCAACTGGCGAATACGCTGTTCGTTAACTCAAGGGGGGACACCTATACGCTAAGCAACCCGTTCTACAAGGTTTGAAACAAAGTATATGTGAAATCAACATAGTAAGGTAATCAACTGGCGAATTGGCGCTGTTTGTTACTTCCGTTGGTCATCACCTCTATACTCATCGTAATATTTACCTAAGAGGGTGCAACCTGTATATATCTACAATAGAATCAAATCAACATCAACTCAATAGTTAATCAACTGGCGAATTGGCGCTGTTTGTTAACTCTTTGGTCATCAACCTAAATAAGAATATAAACAACAACACTATAGTTAATCAACTGGCGAATTGACGCTGTTCGTTAACTCTGTTGGTCATCAACCTAAATAGAATATGTATTGATAGCAAATGAATATGGTCTGCGTTTAAACGGGACTCAAGTGAGATCTCAGTAAAAAGTAACAATTGTAATATACTTTGCTAATTATTGCATCACATTTAAAGTATGAAAAATAAAAAGAGTTTAAATATAAATTTGTATGTTTTATTTATCAATTTGCACCAAACTTTGCATCGAATTCTGGTTTACTTAATTAACATTATCACAACGTGGGTACATAAAATATCAATTAATTAACTAGACGATCACTTCTACTACTAGAGGAAAAAGGCCAAATTACAGTAAGTATAGAATTTAAAGTAAAACTTGTGAGGTAAAAAAATAACATTTCAAAGAGAGTAAAGTAAAATACAAGAAGAACAAATCAAAAGAAGAGGGGGCCTGGGGGCGGGCCGTCACACTATTAATCTGCAGTTCGAGAATATTTTTGTAGTGTCCGAAGATGTAGATGTTTTTATTGACTACACTCTTACCAACAGACCGGGAAATTTATTTTCGAAAACCATCCAAAGGCAAAAAAATACCGCAAAAAGTGTATGTACTCTTCTAAGAGCTTAGAAAGAGTAGGTATTACCAAAGTGTAAACAGCATATTCTATTCTTACATGAATTCACTGACTGTGACGCGACGTCAGCTTTTTTCCACCGTAGCAAAAACGTGTTTGCAAAAAATTCGAGAAACGGCTGGACTTGCAAAATGCTGCGATAGATTATAAAATCGAATGCAAAGATACTAATGACATTTTTAACGCTGGTGTTACACGCACGCTTGCTTCATATGCTGCCACTTAAAAAATAAAAGATCTAAATATATTGTTTAGATTTGAACATAATAAAATCAATATCCTGTATATTAAATTAGTTATTTTAATTAACTAACAACATGTGGTAGTATACTTTACAAAATTATCTCTAAAATGAGATTCATGATAACCATCTAGTAGTATCACTTACAAAATTAATCTTTGAAATCTATTCATGGTCCTTCGAGCAAAAGTTTAAAAATTTTGAAAAAACCTATGGAAGAAGCAAACTTCAACATGAAGAAAAACAAGAAAATGAAGTCTTTCTGCCAACCTCAATAACAAGTTTGATCAAATCCAACCCAAAATCCAAGAAACAACGCTTTATAACCAAATCTAAACTCGTGTCAGGCGAATTTGACTACCATATAATCAAGAAACTTCCGTTCGATTGAAGTTCTACACACCCAAGAAGCAACCGCTTTAAAAACAAATCGAAGCTCGTATCAAGCGAATTCGACAACTATACGACCAAGGGACTTCCGTTCGATTGAAGTTCTACACGCCCAAGAAGCAAAGGACTTCCGTTCGATTGAAGTTCTACACACCCAAGAAGCACCAATGCTTTAAAAACAAATCGAAACTCGTATTAAACGAATTCGACAACTATACGACCAAGGGACTTCCGCCCGCTTGAAGTTCTCCATACTGGAACTCGTATCAAGCGAATTCGACAACTATACAACCAAGGAACTTCCGTTCGATTGAAGTTCTACATACTCAAACCCAAGAAGCACCAATGCTTTAAAAAACAACTCGAAGCTCGTATCAAGCGAATTCGACAACTATACAACCAAGGAACTTCCGTTCGATTGAAGTTCTACATACTCAAACCCATGAAGCACCAATGCGTTAAAAAACAAATTGAAGCTCGTATCAAGCGAATTCGACAACTATCCAAGGGACTTCCGTTCGATTGCAGCTCTTATCCAGGAAGCACCAATGCTTTAAAAACAAATCTAAGCTCGTATTAAGCGAATTCGACAACCATACAACCAAGAGACTTCCGCCCGCTTGAAGTTCTCCATACTGGAACTCGTATCAAGCGAATTCAATAACTTTACAACCAAGGGACTTCCGTTCGATTGAAGTTCTCCATACTTATACCCAAGAAGTATCAATGCTTTAGACGCATAACTTAAATTCCATAATTTCCGAAGAAAATGCAGTTTATGATGAGTTGCATGAGAAAATTTGGAAGAGGATCAAGAGCCACAACTACACCTCGAATGCTATCATAGCCGCTATTGTGTTACCTACACTAAAATTCTTTGAGTCTTCTACGAAACAAAATCTACCACCATCTTCGCCGTGGTTCACCAGCATCGCCACACCAAGCTGAGATGATCGAACTGCAGCCACTAGCCTCAGTCAGGACCGAAAATCCGGATGAATCAAGTTGAGAGTCGCCAGTATGTTCAGATTTGAACATAATAAAATCAACATCCTGTATATTAAATTAATTATTTTGATTAACTAAGAACATGTGGTAGTTTACTTTACAGAATTATCTCTGAAATGAGATTCATGAAAACCATCTTGTGGTATTAATTACAATAATTATCTTTGAAAATCTATTCATATTAGATTAGATTTAATTAGGACTATGGGCCATGTGGCCTCCCCCACCTCGACCTTTTCAGATCTATTGTGGATATCCTTTAATCATTGTTTAGAGTACCTTTTCTAATGCGGTTTTTTGTAGTAGACTCCATAGACTGGGAAGTAGTTCTCCGGTATAGCTAGTTGCCATTGGTTTTTCTTCTCCAAGTGTCAGACCGATATTGAACATATCTTTGTTAAGCCTACAATGCCCTGTTAATAGACCTACTAGTATTCTAGTACTTTTCCTATTAAGGCTTAGTAGATGCTCGGTGAGTTTAGATCTATTCATATATTAAGATACAACTTTTTTTTGAAAGCAACTGCTAAAAATACCTACGTTAAACTGCCGTCTTTTCCACCTACTACAGATGCCGCTTTTGGACACTTTAAAAGAGTATATCTGCAAATTCAAACATGGCTCGGAAGAGAAATATCACCAGAAGAATGGGATTGGAAATATAAATGCGGAATACTAATACCCATTTTTCCGTATATTTAAACAACGTAAGTCGAATTTTTTTCCTTTAATAATTTGAGCGGCCAAAAATGAACGTTACACAATGACGTAGCGACCGGCTCCAGAATCCATATTAAAAATGATTTTTTGCACATGCAAAATAGGTTGCGGAGCATCTTGTGGGTACAGGAAAAGTGGATTTAATTGAACTGTAGCTTGCTTGGAATCCAATGGTGACAACTGTACTAATCCTTCACCTATAATCCACATCAATGAAATCGATGACGACGACAGTAATGAACAATTATGTTATAATGTAAATATAGTTTATAATAATTTTTTGTTGTAATTCGTTGTTTTTTGCGAAATATTAAATTAGCATTAAAGATACTATGCAAATATTATTTTTTTTGTGTGTCATCGGCTTCAACTGCTAAGGTTATTTCGCCTCGTGTTCTGGGTAGGCTTTGTTACTGTTTCCAAGCGCCACTTTAGGAACAGCACTGTTAATTAGAACCCAACAGTGAATGGTCGGGTGGGGAATCCTACCAAAGATATAAAATTGAAACCTTTGCTCTAAACATTTTTTTTCCTTGTCCCTCTAATTTTTCAGTAAATTGTAATCAAGATCGCACAATTTTTTTCTTTTAACTTTTTTATTTGAGCTTTTAACGATGTAGTCCAACAGTTTTTATGAAGATGCATTGACTGACACTGGATTCCGAGATTTTACAATTTTTACGCCTAATGGCGCTCCACTATTATTTGCCATAAAAGATGTTTTCGAAGTACATTACAATTCTTCTTCTTTTCTTTACTTATTTTAGGAAGAAGCTGGATTTAACGTCTCTTCAATATATATTGTTTACATAAAGACGATCCAAAAAGTTACTATTTTCGCGATCCGTGTTATTCAAGAAAATTAACTAAAGCATAAAACGTTGTTTTCTTTGAAGGCCCGTTCTTTGATTTTTAGCTTCCAAACCCAGATTGCAGCTTAACAAAGCATTTATTTAAGCACGTACCTGCAACCTGAGTTTCGATTTATTCATCACATTCAACGGAAAATGGTGCTGTGGTTCCAAAAGCACTAGCTGGTCCAAGTACATCGACTACAATGTGTTTGGCAGTTTTCCAATCATATACAAAACAAAAATAATTATATTTTAGAGTCTACAGTTTTGTATTAAGTAGAGTGAATTAGCTTAAATACCCGAAGCTTATATTTTTTAATGGTAGAGTGGAAGAAAATCGTATCTCTTTAAGTAGTTACTAGTTTTTGATCCAGTACGTTTAGAAAAACTAGTATTTTCATTCTTAAAAATCCTAAAAAGTCGTATTTGTAACTTTGGGTATCATTTTCTCCAAATCTATAAGAATGAACATATGATTATTTTACTTTTAAAATATAGAAATCTAGATGTTCTGTATCAATATCAATATATTTATTCGCTAAATATTAATTATAGTATTCTACTATGAAATTGATAAATATTTTTTTTAACACCTGTCTTATTATAATTTTTAATTTTCTTTTAATAATATAAACTTTCCCAACCCATAATTTGTGCTGTTCAATTAAAATATTTTTGCAAACCAAATTAACTTAGGTACATCTTATCTTACAAAAAATGTGTTTTTTAAAGTAAAAACTGTTTTAAAATAAATCATTTGGTTTCTTTCCAGTATTAATTTTTAAAGAACATTATTGTATTTTAATTGATATGATTTGTGACGATATCGCAAATATATTTAGAGTATGTGTATTGGCTGTGTCAGTTTACGTCGTTAATATTATATATAAAAACGAATGTGTGGATACTATTACTACGTGTAGTGGAACTCATGCACCTCTAAAGAAAATATGTTCAGGTGACTTGATTTTCGAAGAACACTTTAATTCGTTGGATATGACAAAATGGGAACACGAACAAACTTTATCTGGGGGTGGAGTAGGTACTTATAATATTTTTTAATAAAATACATAACTTAGTGAAACATAATAATCATATTTGGATATATGGTATAACTTTGATGATAATGATGATGATGATGATGATCAACACACATGTTCTTATTACTATAGTGTTCGATTTTGTTTAAAAAAATTTATAGACAGGAGCGGACTTACAGGGTTTTTATAAAACGGTGCTTACTGGTTTGGATCATTGTAATAAGTTAAATAAAAGACTTACTGTGCATGTTAAATACTTTAATGGCGATCACCTCCCCAACGGTCTCTATGAGCACTGAGCAGGCCTGGGTCACGTGGTCACGTTTCAACCACCAACCTGACCATGTCAGTAGTGCCAACCACTATCATTATGTGTAGGACAATAGAACATACCTATGTAGTAGGCAACACTCATGACATCTACTTTTTTTAATAAAACAACAACCTAAGTTACAGAATAATCCTTTAAATAGGAAGGTAGCCTGACAGATCTACCAGATAATTTTAATGTCAGTGCGAGAATCAGCCTCATCGTTAAAATGATCTTTTTTGAATTCAAGAATAGAATTGTCTAGAGTGATTTGAGAATCTGATGTCTCGTCCGGAATATCTCTTAGGTCTGCTGACGCTTTATATAAATTAAATCGATTTCTTTTGATAACATTGCCTGAAGGCAGCTTCACATTATAGGAACGAGGACCTTCACCATTCCCTACAATTTTACCTAATGTCATATCATGTTCATTATCTTTAATATAAATTATATCATCCTTTTCAAAAAATTTTGGTGTCATGTGATTTTTCTTATCATAATATTTTTTATAATTATTTTGTTGTTCCTCTAGCACTTTTTTTACATGAGAGTCACTATTATTAACCGACTTCAAAAAAGGAGAAGGTTATCAATTCGTCGCGATATTTTTTTTATTTTTTTTATGTATGTTCAGCGATAATTCTTTAACACGGTGTCCGATTTTAATAATTCTTTTTTGTTGGAAAGGGGCTACTTCAGGGGTGGTCCCATATAAATTTGGTTAAAATCTAAAAATTGGGTCCATGAGAAAATCCTCAAACTCTTCATTTTTTATGTAAGTTTAGCGATAATGCTTTACCACCTTATCCGATTTATATGATTATTTTTTTGTTAGTAAGAGAGTACCTCAGGGGTCATCCCATATAAATTTGGTTAAGATGTGGTGATGGCATCTGCACGTTTTTGAAGTCGGTTTTTTTTTAATTTTTAATTTACACTTGTTTTTGTAAAAGTTTTCTGGAACTGGCAAAAAGCATTAATATTTTTTCCGAACATTAATTGTAAGGGGGACTTATTAATTTTATTATTTAAAGGTGTGTTTCTGTATACCAGAAATGCTATATAAAGATCTCTCTTTGAATGATATGCCTTTGTTTGCAAGTCTGAACATACCGTTCTACCATTCCATTTGATTTAGGGTAATAGGGACTAGATATAGTATGTTCAAAGTTGCACAACTTTTAACTAAGAATTTATCTTTGGTATACCATACCTAGCGAAATTAGATTTTAATGCAATAATAACTGACAGAGAGCTATATTTGCTGAAGTAATCTACCAATAAAACAAATGGTTTTGACTGAAAGTAAAACCTATCATAACCCACGGTTGTTCAGTTATGCCTCTTAACATTAACTCTTCACCGTCGAAGCATAAAGCAAAAAAGTTCGGAATTTTTTAGACTAAGACGGATCGGAATGCGGTTTTTTGCATTCGCTTCCAGAAATATTTTGGAAAAATGCCCCTACTTTTTTTCTTATACAAACTAGAAATTGCATTGCTGCAGCCAAAAATGCATTTTTTGAGACGCTTTTGGAAGATTAAAGAACTTTGTAAATAAGAGTTAGAACTGGCCCAAATCGGTTTGGCGGGGGTTTTCGAGGTCGCTGATCACGATTATGATGTTCAAATTGACCCAGAACTGACCTAGAGCTCAGGAACACCGGTGAACATTTTCTCCGTGGGACTCTCCCGAAATGCATGCGGGGAAGGAGAAAAACTCAGCGCCCGCGGGTTTTTTGGGTTGCTAAATTCAAATACGGCATCGGCGAACACCCCCCACCCCCGGATACCTGGTATGCCGGAATGTGGACGTGGACGTTATCCTTGAGAATTTTCCTGACAAAATCGCCAAAAACAACCCAAAAATCATTGTGGGGGCGTTGTTTGGGGCGCTGAATCCAAATTTCACGTCTAAAACGACCCCCTGAACACCTGGTGCACCGGAACCTGGACGCGGACCTCATATCCGTGAGTTTTCCTCACACAATCGAAAAAGACGAACTGAAAATCGTTATGGAGCGCTGAATCCGAATTTCCCGTCGAAAACAACCCCCCCAAAACTACCCTTCGCAAATCTGGTGCACTGGAACCTCGCCTTGAACGTCATCTCCGCGGGACTCTCCCAAAATTCACGCGGGGAAGGAGAGAAACTCGGCGCCGGGGGGTTTTTTGGGTCGCTGAATTCAAATGTGGCATCGTCAAACACCTTCCAGACACATGTTGCACCCGAACCTGGACGTAGACGTCATCTCGAGAATTTTCCTGACAAGATCGCCAAAAACAATCCGAAAATCATTGTAGGGGCGTTTTTTGGGGCGCTTAATATAAATTTCACGTTGAAAGCGACCCCCCGAACACCTAATGCCCTTAACGTCGTCTTCGAGGGTTTTCCTCACACAATCGATGAAGACAAACTCAAAATCGTTAAGGAGGATTTTTTGGGGCGCTGATTCCGAATTTCACGTCGAAAACGACACTTCCAACACCTGGTGCACCAGGTGTTAGGAGGATCGTTTTCGACTTCGAAGACGACGTTAAGGGCCAGATTCCGGAGCACTAGGTATTCGGGGGGTCGTTTCGACGTGAAATTTGATTTAAGCGCCCAAAAACACGCCCCTACAAAGATTGAATATTCTCGGGGATGACCTAAACGTCCACATTTAGATGCACCAGGTGTCCCGGGGGTGTTCACCAATGCCACATTTACATTCAGCGCACCAAAAAATCCCACCTAACGATTTTCGGTTCGCCTTTTTCGAATGTGTGAGGAAAACTCACGGAGATGAGGTCCGCGTCCAGGTTCTGATGCACCAGGTATCCAGGGGGTGTTTTATGATGCCATATTTGAATTCAGCGACCCAAAAAAAAACCCGGGAGCTGAGTTTTTCTCCTTTCCCGCATTAATTTCGGGAGATTCCTACGGAGATGATGTTCACCGGCGTTCCTGAACTCCAGGTTAGCTGTGGGTCAATTTGAAAATCATAATCGTGATCAGCGACCTCGAAAACCCCCGCCAACCCGATTTGGGCCAGTTCTGACTGTTATTTACAAAGTTCTTTATTTTTCCAAAAGTCGTCTCAAAAAATTTATTTTTGGCTGCAGCAATGCAATTTCCGGTCTGTGTAAGATAAAAAAAGGGGCATTTTTCAAAAATATTTTTGGAAGCGAATTCAAAAAACCGCATTCCGATCCGTCTTAGTCTAAAAATTCCGAATTTTTGGCCTTTTTACTGCTTGCTTCGGCTAATTATGTTTTTTTGAAATCTAAGACACGCATTACAATTTATAACTACATCTTCGATTTCTTTTGACATATGTGGTCAAAATAAAACTTTTTTAGCTCGACTTATACATTTTTCTATTCCTGAGTGATTTGTAATGAATAAGTTTTTACAAAGTAATTTATTTATTACAAACAACTCATCTTTTATGGAAAAATAGTATTTTAATATAATTGGAATTTTAGAATATGCCTGCCAACCAAATTGTGTATATTTAATGACAAAAGACAGATGATTTTCAGTCTCCACTTGAAATTTTTTCAATTGGTTGTCAGAAAAAATAAATTGTTAACTATTAAGCAAATATGTAAGTTTACTTCTTCATCAATATGTGTCAGACTCTTACTAAACGACTTAAAATTACGAGAACTTATTAATTTTTTAGTAAAAACAGATAACAATATGACACATTGTCCATTGGCACCTAACGATAAGTTTTACAATAAAAATTGAAAAAAATCTTAGCAAATCAATAATGTGATGCATCAGCCAATACGTAGAGAGAAACAGAGCTACGTTGATAGAATTGTAGCTAAAATTTTTGAGCGTATAAAGTTATTAAAGTTATAAATAATTACGTTACAAAGATTCATATGTGAACTTTCAATTTCTATTGATGTGATAGTCATTTGCGTTTTAAAATATCAATACATGACTTGGCTTTGGCACAAAATTCTGTGTAGTAAAAATTAAATATATTGTTCCTTTCTAGCATTTTTATTTGTATTTCCTTTGTTAGAAAGACATCTTTTTAGATTTTTTCAAAAGAAACCGATTAAAATGTTCAAAAAGTGACTCCAGAGGGGTACGGGTTGAGCCTGTACCTCTACTTACATAAATTTTCTTGTAGTAAAAATAAAAAGTAATCCGTTAAATTGGTGTACTATAAAACCCTTGCATATTATACAGGGTGTTTCAAAAAGATTGGTCATAAATTATACCACATATTCTTGGGTCAAAAATAGGTTGATTAAACCGTACTTACTTATACCGGGTGTTCATTTTAAAGTGTTACCGTCAAATACCGCCGAAAATATGCATTTTAGAAAAAAAAGTTTCAGACAAAAGTTTTATAGTTTTTTGGGGGAAATATTTTGGCTAAATTCATTTTTTTGTAGTTGACCATAATATGGCCATATCGAGGTGGACTTTGTTTTTTTAAATGGGAATCCCATTTTTTTCTTACATATTCTTAAAGTATATAAAAAAATAAGAAACTTTTGAGGGAAATATTATTTTTATTGGACTTTTACTTTTTGAGTAACAGCTACTTGAAAATGTTGCTGCGCGAAAAAAAAGTTGGCCATATTATGGTGAGCTATAAAAAACGATTTTAGCCAAAAGTTTTTCCCCACAAAACTATAAAACTTTCGTCTGAAACGTTTTTTTTTTATAAAAAGCGGTATATAGCTGTAACGCTTTAAGTTGAACACCCGGTATATAGTGTATAAGATAAAAATTTAGATGAATTTTTTTAACGTTGTTCTTAAACCGTTTGACATTTTTTCATGAAATTTTATATGACGTGTTGGAATACCATGATTAATAAAATCGAGGTAGAGGCAATATATTTTTTTTATTTTTGTAGGATTTTGGAGGGTGTCACCGCCCCTTTCTCTACTCAACTTTTTTGTAATATAAAATACAAACAAATACTAAGAGACAAAAAAGTTTTCAAATGGATGTTGCATTCCAGTGGGGTTTCATTTGTAATTAAATTTTATACTAAAAAAAAGTTGAGTGAAGAAAAGAGTGGTGACCCCCTCCAAAAACCTATAAAAATCAAGAAAAAAATCTTGCCTCTTCCTCGGTATTATTAGTCATGGTATTCTAACACGTCATATAAAATTTCATGAAAAAATTCCAAACGGTTTAAGAGCAACATTAAAAAAATTCATTAAAATTTTTATCTTATACACCCTGTAACTATTTTTGGGTGCACTTTTGTATATAGGTAAGTACGGTTTAATCGACCCATTTTTGACCCAAGAATATGTGGTATAATTTATGACCAATCTTTTTGAAACACCCTGTATATGTCGATCTTAGTATTACAGAAATGATTTACGTAAAACAATAAGGTGTACAAATACGTAAAATTTATTTATCACTCGTAAACCACCAGTAAAATATATTATAAGAGATTTTCATTCACAAGTATTAGGCACAGAGGTACCACTTTCCAAACGAAAAATCTTGCAATATAAGGGTTTAGTAGTACCCCACTTTTAAAGTTTACTTTTGGCAATTTTCAAAATAAAAAAATATATTCTTGTAGGTAAAGGTTAAATCTATGCCCCTCTGGAACCACTTTTTTAAAATTCAATTTAGTTTTTTCTAAAAAAATTAAGGAAATGGTTAAAAAAGTCGAGTTTTGTATTTTGTTTAAAAAAAAACAGATACAAATTTTGAAAAAGTGTCTACAGAGGAGCACATATTTAACCTTTACCTACACGCACATATTTTTTATTTCAGATTAAGTAAAAAAAAACTTTCAAGTGGGGTTATACGAACCTCTTGCATGCTCTGCTCTAAAGCCAAGTAGGACAGAATAATTGGCAAGAGCAAATATTTTTCCTAAATAATATTTAGATGAAATTTTATTTTTAAATGTAGAATTAACTGAGCAGAAGTAAAAATACATTTTTATTTTAGAATGGAGAATTTCAATGGTATACCAATAATCGAAGTAACAGTTATGTTCAAGATGGTAAATTACATATAGTACCAACTTTATTAGCTGATCATTATGGTGAAAAATTTTTGTATAGTGGTACACTAGATATAAACGGTGGTTATCCCGCTGAAGGGTAAGTTCCCATTTGTTAATTGAAGTTATAAAATGTTATAACGTTATAATTTTAGGTGTACAAACCCACAATGGAATGGCTGCAAGCGAACTGGAACAACAACGAATATATTGAATCCAATCAAAAGTGCTTGCCTTCGTTCTCTGTACTCGTTTGCTTTTAAATATGGAAAGATTGAAATTAGGGCTAAAATACCTGCAGGTGATTGGCTCTGGCCAGGTATGTTCCATCGACATTTATATCTGCGTTCCATTCTTGGCGAAACACCTAACTTCTCACTCACGGCAACAAGATTTTTGGGAAAGTAGTCTAAATTTGTTTTTTAAAATGTCTTCGTAATTTGGATGTTTGCTGTTTTCCAAAAAACCTTTTATCACTTGAGTAAATTAATAAATCCATGCAGCTTTTTTGGTTTTGCTTATGGTATTCACAAAGTCTTGATCTTACATTAATCGCCTTATTTGAAAACCTACAAAAATTACTTCCTTTAATTTTGCAACTGAGAGAGCGGGATTTTTTTTACATATGTATTTAGAACATGCTCCGTCTTTATTTAAAGCTTCATCGTAATGCTTCATAAGTGCTAATTTAATATGCAATGGTCGTAAGAAAATTTTTTGTATATCAGTCAGATTTTCTTGCAGAATATTTTTTGATGCAGGTAATAAATTAACCTTTTTTGACCAGTCCTTTTCCACCCATTGGTACTGTCAATTTCTACTATCCCACTCACCAAAAACGTGGGTATACCTTGACTGCTGACCTAGTAGAAGTCCCATAAATTTTAACACCATAAATCATCCAACTATAGTCCTTGTATTTTATTTTAGTCTATATACTCTGATCTCCGAGCAATTACTACTAGAGGGAGTCTTCCCCCCTTCCCCGCGCTAAATTTTGTTAGCAACATCTACTCCCCCCGAGGGGGGAAATACCTCTTCTGTAATTGGCTTATTTAATCAGCGATGCCAAGTTTGACAGTGAGGTTGTGACCTCGTTCTGACACTTTCTGACACATGTCAATTATTGATTTGTATTTTACGAAAAATATAATTATTTATAGCCTTGTAAGGGTTTTAAATGTATATTGAAGATTTACTATCTGTAATAATATGGTGAAAACATGCTTTATGTGTAAAAGACCTGTTGAAAATGCTTCTTCAAGATTATATCATAGGTAAGTACAAATACAACTTAATTACCAGAGGCGGTGCATTAGGCAATTAATTATTTGCAATTGAACTTTCTTATTTTCGAAAAAGTAAAATTAAGAGGGAATAAATCCCAGCTAAGTTCGTCTTCATCTGTATCATAATGATTATAGTAAAGGTTTAACAGAGAAGTTAATTACTTATTATTATTTTAATATCACATCTTTGTAAAGTTTATTGTTATTTTTTTTAGGTTTCCTTTTCTTGATATGAGAAAGAAATACATGGTTCCAAAATTTAAGAATTCAACAAGTGACCACCTGAATACCTTTTTATGCCAATGAACATTTTTATTATAGACCTCAGGGGAGGAAAATATTAAAGAAAAATGCAATTTCGACGAAAGAAGTATAATAGGCAATCCTGTCACTACTTCTACACTATATTCATCTGCTACTAAAATACTAAAACAGCAAGTAAGTAGAGAAACTTAAGTTTCTTTCAAAAAGAATATTTAAGGAAAAAGGCATAGCCATTTTTTTGTTGACACTTTTTTTTAACTAATCTAAAAGACTAATTTTGTGTATTGTTTAAATTTTCATTTTTTGTACTTAATTTGTTTTAGGTTTAAACAAAATGAACTTCTAAGAATATCCCATAAGAGCTAAGGAAGGTTTTAAAATTCTTAAGAAAACTATTCAGAGCCAAAAACATAAAATAGTCTTCCTGTCCAAAATATAAATAGGTATAAATATTTAGATATTATGAGTGATTTTTTATTCTATAGACAGAACATAATTTGCTTCTAAATCACTACCTAATGAACTATATTATATAGTACAAAACTAAACAAGAATATCACATTCATGTTTTTTTTTTTAATTTCCTTAAAAACGTCCCAAAAAAATGTGAATATTTATTATTGGAGTTTACATCGTTAAGCTAAAACAATACTAGAATAACTTAAATAATGTGGATTTTGACTATTTTGAGTTATGCAGATCATTATGATCTAAAAAAATGTTTGTCTGGTGCTATAGTCAGGTATAAAAACATTCATTTATTTAAACACAGTTGCAATGTACATTTTATTTAGTTTTTAAGTTAAAACCTCTTAGGACATCCTGAAATGACTTTTTTTGTTTGATGTGAGATTAATTATTCTACATTTTTGTTGGTGAAATAGGATATATTAAGATGTCTTACTGTTTTCTCTGATTATCTAAAAAGTTAGAACAATATACAAAGACTGTTATAACAAAAAAGAGATATACCTTTACTTAAACACACAATTAGTCAGTTCATTTGTACGGTAATTTAAAGCAGAAATCCAGAAAACTTTAAAAACGTGTTTAAATGTGTTTTTACTATAACAAGGGCATAATTATTAAAAAAACTTGGCACATTAACATTGACGATAGGTTTTTATAATATATATTATACAAATCACAACGAACTACACAAAATGACATTAATAATAATTTAACAATAAAAAAGTTAAGTACAATGATGACATTAAAAGTTGAGTTTCTCGAAATAATTTTTTTAAATTGTCTCAGTACCTACCTAGTATTTTTCTAGCACAATGATATATGAATGTGCATTGTGTGATATCTTATATTTTAGGCATAAAATGATATATTTCTTTGCAGGTTTCTGTTAACAACGATTCCAAGAACTTTTGAAAATATTATTAAAACGGCCTTTGCAAATATAATTCCCAATTAAGAGCTTCTGATCTAACATTAAATTTTTATTCTCCATAAGGTTACAGCTTCCTAAGAAGAAAGTTTAACAAGTCTTACCAGACCCAAAATATCAAAGTTTTACTAACCAATTGATGGTTCTACTGGTTTCCATAGGAAAATTCTCCTCGAAACTACTAAAAGAAAAGTGACAGAGGCAACCGAAGAAGGCAAAAAAGTCTTTTGCAAAACAAAAACTAGAAATTTGTTTAAGAATCTAATTATTGTTTGAAGTTTTACCATTAATAATTTTTGATAACGATTTAAGATTATGAAGTTCTATTATGTATTTTATTTACTCTTTGATAACCTATGTTTAAATTTTTATTAGGACCAAAATAAATTATAATTTTCATTTCAACTACAGAAACTCTCATAATATTAAAAAGGGGGAAAACGTTAGATTAGTTATGTTCAGGAATAAACTCTAAACTTTCCTCTACTTAAAATGTGTTACTTTTAGAAGGTATGTTATTAACTTTCTATTTGTACTTGTATTAATTTATTTCATTTTATTATCTGTTATATCTTCAAATTAATTTTGATATTAATCTTATCTATTTATATATTTTTTATATTCACATATATGTTTTTTTCAGTGAAACAAACGTTTATTAGCTTATTAAATATACTGAATTTATGTTGTTTTATTATATGCTTGTATAAATGATTACTTTTATTTCCTTTTAAAAATAAATTTCGAAAATAAAGCCGAAACGGTGAGTGAGAATAAAAAATTTGACGAAAGTGACGATATTTACTGGAGCTTTCATCTACATGCTCCTTTTTCTAGCCATCTACACCTGAGCCAGCAAGATTCGTCTTCCCTCCATCCTTAAATTCTCCAGATTTACAGAGAAAACGCCGTCCTCCTTAACTTATCCAGACCTTCTTTGACGGGGACTATACCACTACATTATCAGCTTTATTTGTTATCCCGAGCAATTTAAATACATTCGTAATTGCTCATTCTCACCTCTTCTCTTGTAGATGCCGTACTCAGTTTTCTTATTTTTAGTTACGTTTGCACTGCTCTTTTATTTTCACAGCTTTAATTCTATAATGCTGTAACGCTACAATATGGATCCATTTTTGTGGTTTATATTATTTAATGTTATTCGTAATTGACCAACCTATTATAATAATTAAATATTATTGTATTACAGGCCTGAAGATGTTCCTGTAAGGCCGAAACTAGTCGGTCCTGTATTTATTTATAATAAAATTGATTTTAAGGTTTTATTCTTCAATTGAAAAAATTAGACCTTTACAGTGATTTTGTTTCATTTCCTGCATTAAACACATATAAGACGGTATTCATTTTAAAAATAGTAAAATTAGCAAAAATTTTTAGTTTTTTTTTACAATTAAAACGTTTGGACAATGTGTGTTTTTATAGATAAATGATACGCCACTGAACAAGAAGGATGTTTACCTTCCCCCTTGTGCCCGCTTCCTCACTTCCTCCACAGATGTTGCTAACACAACAATCGCCTACAAACTCGTTTTCACGCTCCCTCTATTAGTAATTGCTCGGAGACTCTGATCGCGCTTTTTGAAATATTCGATTTTAAACGTCTTCTGTCAGAAAATTTTTATTTCGAAGTCTAATGCCAAAATTTCGAAAATATTCTTGGGCAAACCTAAATCTCTAAGTTATTTAGTTTTAATTTTTTTGTTAGTTTACATTGCAGGTAACTATATTTCAGCCAACCAGCAATCTGTCTTTATTATAAACTTAAGACGCTTAAAACTAAGACTTCACCCAATGGTATCTTCTCCTGTCTGTTCTGATAACTATACACTGCACACGCGCAGTGTGCTCTGCTTTACCACACTTTCACATTACTAATTGAAATGGTTTTGTCCTTTTGAGCCTTCTCATTAGGTATCTGTTGTCCAGGACCTGTAGAACTTCAATATTTACGTGATCCTGCAGATCCCCAATGCTGTATGCCGTAAATCCATACTGGCTTCAGTACTTGTTTATATATTAAAAGTTTATTTTCGATTGAAAGTTTTTATTTTTTATTCATCAACCAGTATAATTTTCCGTATTTAATACCCAACTCTTCCCGTTTTTCTTTGTGTTTTCTTTCCACTTTAATTTAATATCTATGTTCATTCCTAAATATTTTGCCGAATTAAAATATGGTATTCCAGTATTATTTAATGTCATTGGTAGGTATTCTGCTAATCTTTTATTAGTAAAGTTAACCTGAACGGTTTTAGTTTCGTTGAGCCTAATGCGCCATCTTTTTGTCCACTCATAGATTATATTAGTTGCATGTTGAAGTTTTCTGGTCGATTTTTTTATGGGTTTACCCATGGCCGTGTCGTCGGCAAATGTGGCTACTTTTATATTTTGCGTTTGTAGTAATCAACAGGTAAAGAACTGGTCCCAGAACACTTCCTTGAGGTGCCCCTGCTTTAGTTTTTTTAAAGTTGGAATATTCTTCTTCTTGTTTTATTCGGAAGATTCTATCAGTCAAGTAAGATTTTAAGATGTCACAATATTGCCTAGGTAGAAGTTTATTTATTTTATATTCAAGGCCCTCTAACCATACTTTATTGAAAGGCTAAGCTACATCTAGAAAGAGTGAGGTGTAGATCGTTTTTTTTTTCAGTGTTTTCTCTATTTCATGCATTAATCTGTGGACTTGGTCAATAGTGCTCCTAAATCCAAATTGGTGGTCAGGTATTATATTTATTGTATTTTATTTTTGTCCTTTTTGTTGTTGTTATATTAATTTAGTTAAACCCTGTATGTACCTATTTAAAAATAAAATGACATTAGTTTTGATATGTTGACTAAATATATTTCTTGAAGTTCTAGAAAAAGTCTGAGTTTTGTTATTAATATAATTACGAGACGACGAAACATTGGTCCTCCGATCCATTGAACAAATCCCTGGAAGAATACGTCCAAGAGTATCGTATGACTGATAAAATGGACAGTTCCTACAGCCTGCCTATGACTAGATCTAAAAGAAAGCGTTTTGGAACTACATGCTTAATACAAATGAAGCCAAGTTTGCAGAGCCCTCCAAACTTGAAGGGCAAAAAGATGACAGTGTCAGACAAGAGCCAATAATTTTTTTTCGGAAAGCAATTTGGGAAATAAAATGAACAGTAATCACGAAGAAGAAGTCAATTCAGTTCGTACTGTTAAAGTAAATGTTCCCATAGCAGCATCGATGTAGAACGAAAAACACGTGCATTGGCCATCGAAAAAGCTAGACAAGAAATAGAACTTTTAGAAGAAAAAAAAATTTAATTGTTAGAAATAGAAAATTATATTTTTGAAACTAAAATATCTGATAGATCTAGTAGAATTTCTTCAATTTCTAAACAAAATTCAGTAAAATCCTTTCTCTTATGTGATGATGAAAATGCCGCTAGGACTAGCAAGTGTGTGGTAAACATTTCCATGCCACAACCACTTACAGATTCTCCCAAAGAACGTGATTCAGAACTGAAGCTTCTTTGCCAATCTGTTAGTAAAGCCATAAAAACTGTATCTCATACATCAAAGCAAGAAAGTGTTGTTTCGAATCACCACCTAGCTCCAAGGGGAAATGTATCGAATCTTGATGATGACGGATCAAATGAATTATCCTCAAATTCCGATGAACATTCTATAAGTGACGAAGAAAATAAGTTACCTAGAAAGGACGAAAACCATACAGAGCAATCATTAGGGTTAGAGTCTAGTCAACCAGATCAATCGTTAGAATCGAGTCAAAATGATCAATCGTTTGTATCTAGTCAACAACTGACTCATAACGAAAATATACCATCTGCATCAAGATCAATCCGAACCAGGGCACCACCAAAATATTTATAGGACTATGTTCGTTTTTAAGGAAGGGTGAATGTAATGAGCATTACATGTACACACTGTATACGAGTTGTGCAGTGTATACTCTTGCATCGCATAGGAGATTGTTTATTCGTTAATGTTATAATCTGATTAATATGTCATTTTTATAAGTTTAGTTATTTGCTGAATAAAGCCAAGTTTTGGTTGTTCTCTATTCCCTTATTACAGTTATTACTGAAAAAGACTCGACAAACCATAAAGTATGTTCTTATGGTGAGTTAAACGGACATGCCATAAAAAAACTGCCCAAAAACGTCCAAAGATGATATAGAAACAAGATGGGAAAATGTCACAAAGAAAAAATTGTTTAAAGCATAACCACCAAACCAATAAATGTAAGTCTAAGCATCAATGTCGTGTTTAATAACTGTAAAAGGTCCCATCATAAACTTCTTCATAAGTAACCAGTACCGTCTAATGCTGACAACAATGATCCAGAACCAGACCACCATTCATCTAATCAATATGTAACTTCTTTACCGGAAAATGTCTTAGCTGTTAGACATGGAACAAAAAATGTTTTGTTGAGGATGCTTAAAGTAAAATTATACGGCCCTAACACTATTATCGAGACCACGGCTCTTTGTGATGAAGTTTTATCCGTTACATTGATCGACAACGAAATTGTAGAGCAATTAGGACTACACGGAAAACCCCATTCTTTATGTATGCAATGGACGAATAATTTATCTACTTGTCATGAAAACTCAAGCTGTTTTGACTTAGACATATCTGGAGTTCCTAAAGAAACTAAGAAATTTGTTTTAAAGAACATTCATAGCATAGATAATGTATCATTGCCATTCCAAGTAATTAAAAAACAAGATTGGACTAAGTATTTTCATTTAAAAGATCTTCCTTTGCCAGAGATTGATTAGAGACCCTTGATTCTGTTAGGACAAGATCAGATACGACTTACGGTAGCACGAAAGGTAGTACAAGGTCTAGACGATGAACCTGTTGCGACCAAGACAACGTTAGGCTGGACTATGCATGGAGTTTCTCCTGAAAATAAAGAAATTAAACATAATTATTCCTTTCTTCTCTCTGACCATAAAACTGCAAATGATGTCCTCCATCAATTGGTTAAGACCTTCTTTACTATTGATGCCCTTGGAGTGACACCTATCCAATCAAAAGCTTCCAAAGTGGAAGAAAGAGCACTCGACCTAATTACAAAAACATCTAAAAGAGTAAGCGATAGATACGAAATAGGACTATTATGGAAATCAGATAACTTAACTTTACCTGAAAGCAAAATTGTAACAATGAAAAGATTATCATATGTAGAGAACCAAGTACATAAGAATGCAGATCTTCAGAGACACTATTCAGAGAAAATTCAAAGCTATCTAGACAACGGTTACGCTCGCAAGCTCTCAGCAGAAGAAGCAAAACTGTAGGCCCTAGAACCTGGTATCTCCCACATTTTGCTGCTATAAATCCAAAGAAGCCAAATAAACTTTAGGTGGTATTTGATGCAGCCTCGAAGTCACATGGTATGAGCCTCAACGATAACCTGCTAGCCGGCCCTGACTATCTTCAACCATTGATAGGTGTCTTAATGAGGTTTAGAGAAAGGAAAATTGCCTTTTGCGCTGAAATCAGGGAAATGTTTCATCAAGTGCGTATACGAGAGGCCGACCAAAGTTCCCAATACTTTTTGTGGAGGGAGGGAGAAAAAAACAGAGAGTACGATACTAACAAGATGTTAGTTATGACTTTTCACCTGGTTCCATTACCCCAATATCTTAAACCTTCTTCACATATTTACAAACAATATGTGCCTTCCACGATTTGCCTTGATTATTTTACTTTAAAATAAGCCTAGTATTGTTTTTTTAAACAGGGGTGTAAGTTTACGTCTAACTTTCTTGACAGAAGAACCACACACATAGAAAAATATATTATTATCTTGGCATTTTAAAAAGAAATTAACTACATAATGCTCCCTGTTAGTTTGTACGAAATTTAAGCTAGTGGCGTAGCCATTTTTATATTATGAAATATCCCTATGAAAAATTTTTTAAAACAATAAATATGACACCTCAATAATTATTTAAAAAATTGTACATTATGGAAACAAAAAACATTGATTTTCTATTAGTTTAGCCTTAAATACTAAGTCACAAAATCTTTGTTGGCCTGTGTTACTTATGCATTTCTTGCTCACAGAACTCTGTTGTTAATCGCAAGCTAATACTTAGTAAAACTCAATATTTATTAATATTTTTGTAGGTATCTGGTTAATGCCCAAATGGAATCAGTATTCTACATGGCCAGTTTCTGGGGAAATTGACATTATGGAAAGTCGAGGTAACAGGCATCTAGTTAACACATCAACAGGAGTGAATATTGGAGTTCAACAAGTAGGCAGTTCCTTGCACTGGGGTCCCCATCCATTTTATAATAGATATCCTTACGCTCACTATGAAAAAGAGTCACTAAAAGGCTACAATGTCGAATTTCACAATTATCAATTGGAATGGACTTCAAATTACATTAAATTTTCAATTGACGATGTGATGACAGGAATTGCAGTTCCACCTGAAGGTGGATTTTGGGAGTTAGGAGAGTTGAATAAAACGGGATTGGATAACCCATATAAAAGAGCTTCAAAAATGGCTCCGTTCGATCAAGAATTTTATATTATTTTTAATACAGCTGTAGGTGGACAAAACGGTTACTTTCCAGATAAGAAGGAAGCAACTAATTCGCCAAGAGACAAACCGTGGTCAAATAACGCAGGTGATGCTACTACTGCCTTCTGGAAGGGGAGGGAGCAATGGCTTCCAACTTGGAATATTGGCACAGATGATTCCCACCTACAAATAGATTATGTTAAAGTATGGGCAATTTAGTGTCAAATGTATTTATAAATTGTTTTTTTTTTGTTTTTAAAAATTTTTGTTCACTTGTTCGAATTAAATTGCTTTTAAAATGTTCACCATTCGATAGCTTAATTCACGTTGAATACACTTATACATATTTTTTTATAAATCTGCTAAAACGTTGCGATATTCATAAATTAAATAAATGTTTAAAATCTGTACCATAAAACTTATTTATTTTTAACACAATAAAACGGTTACCGGCTTCGGCCCAAGTTGGAAAACTTTATTGTTAAGGCCAAGTTCAATTTCGTTTGACATATAATCACGATTTTTTTTAGGTTAGAAAATTGCATTATCGATTTTTTTCATCCGAAGTAATACAAGACGTCACTTTAAATTTCTATCTCTTTATGTCAACAAATATGTAACACGATGCATTTATAAAACGTATGTTACTAATGAATATGTGGCGGCAACTGACGGAAACACTGTCAGCTACTCCATGGCTACTAGAGTACATACAGGTCCGGTATAAGCCATATATAAATAAAAAATAATAATTTAATGTTTTGATTCAGTTAAATAAAATATCAAAATTAAATTTTTCTTTTTAAGTAAGCGACATTTTTAAATGTATACGTCTGCATTCAAAAATAATATAGGCTAATACTCAAGTCTATACGAGTATACTGGACAAGAGATAATTTTACCCATTACTCCAGTTTTTTGTAATGAAACCAGCGGTAAAATAGATATTTGTGTACCAAGGCGGTGTTTTGGCCGAATTAAACATATGCGTTCGAGTCTAAGCTAGTTCTGGTTAAGTATAAGAGTAATAGGCAAGAAACGGGTGTTCAATCAAACTTGACATCGAGATAGATATCACATAAGCAGGTGTACTGAAAATGAACTTTGCAGGACCAAGCATCAGATAGGTATAACACTTGATATTCTGAAAACTATGCATACTACACTGAATAATAACGAATGGAAGTGTCAGAAGGAGGCTAACGGCAAAAAATAGACGGAACAGAGCTGAATAGATAGATAAGTAATATTTTAGCCAGGAGAGAGTCGATGAGTGTTATAAATATAGTTATTTATGAATGTATTTTTAATGTATAATTTCAGTTTATTTTCACTTTTGGTATAAAACTATGGCTGACATAATAAAACTCTTAAAAGTATATATATTTTCAATCTTTATTACTATACATTATTTAGTTTTCATTTATTCTCTCTGACCTAGGGAAAAGGTTAGAAACCCCTGGTCATAATTGTTTACAATGTTGGTGTTCCTATTGATACAAAACATTACAGAGGAATGATACTTAGCCGATGAAATCTCATCGAGCTCACGCATAACGTATTGTGGTATGGAATATGGCTATCTCTGATGCATAAGCAATTTTAAATTTATTTTTGCATACCGTTTTCTATCAACTGATACCCCAAATTTAAACAAGCCACGTCTTCGCACCACAATGTGACATAGCATCAAATCTGCTAAATCTCGTACCATTTTTTTTTAAGTATCAAGGATATTCTTGGTGTAGCTAAACATTTTTTTGCTTAATAAAATAAAAATAATTTTATTGCCCAACAAATTAATCCATTTACAGAACAAAATACATGAAATAAATGTTAAACATAATATTTTGACAGAAAATAATTTTAGCAACAGCAAGAAAAAAAAAGAAAAGAAAGAATCCTAAATACATTAGCTACAAATTAGTACAACTAATGATCGGAATAAATATTCCAATCAGAACAAAATTAATTAAAATTTGAGCACATTAGCGTTATAGGTGAATTTCTTCCCAAGTTCGTTCAAATACTTGCTGTATAAAATGTTTAATGATATCTAATGGCTGTTTGGGGAACATTAAAATTTATTTAATTTATCAAAAATAGTACATCAATAGTGTTATGTAATATTTTATAAAAAAATGTAACACTGGAAACTACCCTTCTATTTTCGAAAGAAGCAGAGATTCTTCAATACCTCGAATGGGATACAGCTCATCTATTTTAAAAGAAAGGTACTTGAGAGATCGCCGCTGAACATTTTCCAATGATCTTTATGAATATTGTAAATAAGGTTCCAGATAAGAGATGCTTATTCTAGCCTGGAACGAACTAAGAACCCTAAGCTTTTCAACGCAGAAGCAACTGTATTTTCAATATAATCCGAAAAAGTAACTTTTTTGGTTGAATAATATACCTTAATCTTCAATTTGTGCACAAGTCCGATAAATGTAGGCTGTTAAATAAATAATCAAACTCCACCTTGTTAATACTTCTAGTATAGGAACATACTTCACATTTAGACACATTCATAAACAGCTTGTTTTCATTACACCAATTTTCAACGATTACCAAGTTGGGTCTGTAAAAAGTAACAGTCTTGAATTGATGAGATTGAGGTAAATATTTTTAAGTCAGCAGCGAACAGCAGGTTAAATTTATTGCCAAGTCATTTATAAATATACTAAATAATAGTGGTCCCAGATTGGAGCTCTGTGGAACTCCAGATGTTGCTGTGAGGGGTGAAGATGAAAATCCGTTGTAAAAGACATAATTAAAACGTCAAACTTTCAAAACAAACATGCTTGCGTTGTGTTCCAAACAGAAAATACCATTTATAGAATAATTTATTTACTTGCAACCTTTCCCCGCACACCACCTCGTCCCTCACCCATAAACATGGTCAAATTGGGCTAAGCCATTTTACATTCGTCTGCATAGGGAGCGATGTTGCAATTTTTCAAATTTTAATGTCTATTCCGTCTGTTCAGATGGCAGCATCTTATGGGCCCTACATTTTTAAATCTTATCACAAGAATCCTGAAATAATTAGGCAAAAATAAAAGAATGTATGTTGCGTTTTAACTTTTAAATACTATAAAAAATGATGGAAAGTCCATAACTTTTAAATATTTGTTAAATATCACTTATTAAAATATTATGCATTAAAAGTAAAACAAACCATAGACTTTCCATCATTTTTTACAGTTTTTTGAACCCATTTATGAAAACAGTTTTTTAAAATATTATCGTTCAGATCTGTATTTCTTGTGATAAAAAAGTAGCCGTCACTTGTCATTGAACTTGGCCTTAATATTGTTTGTGGAGCCTCTATAAGGTACGAAATGATAACAATGAGATCTCCTTTAGAACTGTTTATTTATTCCTTGTTGCTCGTCTGGTATAGGCAACCCAATGTACGTAGAAGGCACTTGTGTTGCCTGTACCTCACATCTTACCTTTCAAGAATATTAAATAAAAACAAACAATATAATAAAAAACAAACAAAAAGTAAATAATGAAATCACTCCGTGGTGGAAAATGACAGTAATGTACTTCTAATAAACTCCATTAACAAACTTGTGCAGGTAACCTGGTTTTCTAGATTGTATACCTAATCGTGTAAGTGTAGTTTTTCTGTTTCATTATTACCATTTTCCTCCTATTTGGAATCATTCTCTCAAATGCACAAAGAGTGTATGATTAAGTGGAAAACTCGAGTTCAATAAATTAAATCATGTTAGGGTATTGATTAAGACATTGAACGAGTAATTCAAACCGAAAAAGAAAAATGGAGACAGATCCTGCATATGGTTATGGATGCTGTATATTATATCTAGCAACAAACTGTCTTTCTTTTCGTGGTTCCCACGAAACCCCTAGCGATCTCATCACACAATGTCCTCAGCCTGGTCAAGGAAATTTCTTGAATTTAATTTTGCTTCCCTCCAAACATAATTCAGCCTCTTAAGTTTCAATTAGAAAACTTAAAAAAGGAACATGTATCATATTTGTCAAAAACAATAGAGAATGAAATTATTGACATAATTGCAAATACAGTCAGAAATAGCATTCTAAACGACATCAAAGAAGCCAAATACTATACAATAATGTTCGATTGCACTCCAGATGTGTCGCTATGTAAAAAAAACTGGTGATAATAATAAAAGAAAGTTTAATTGACTTTATAGAAGTTGCTGGAAAGACAGGAGAGCACATTTGTCAACAGATAATAGAAAAGTTGACAGTTGATGATTTAGATATCAGACAATGTCGTGGCCAATCTTATGATAATGCATGGAGACTACACAAGGAGCACGCACTCAAGTGTGGCATTTGCCAGAGTATGTCCGCGCGTTATCGTATAAATAAAGCTTTCTTTTTTCACCACTAGCGTCGCTAATTTTTCTTTTGTACCGGTGTGAATATAGAGGAATAAACAAATGTGAAGTTAGCGTGAAAATAAAGTAACCGATTATTTAATTAACGTAAACACGTGTCAAATGTTTTTAAATTAAATAAATATAATTAGAGTTATAATTAATTAATTAATTAGAATTATTTATTTTATTTCAAACTACCGCCTCATTCTCTTATGCCATTTTGGTACTTATGGAACACTAGCGCCCTCTTAAAATACTCTGTTTAACACAGTACGCTTGTTATACATGGAGTGCGTGCTCCTTGTGTAGTCTCCATGTGATAATGGATCAAATATGGCTGGCACCTACAACGGAGTGCAAGCCAGAATTACAGAAAGGAATGAGCTGGCTGAGTTCGTACCGTGTTTGGCTCACTCCTTAAATCTTATCGGTGTCCATTGTGCCTCATCATGCCCGGAAACAATAAATCTATTTGGATTATTTCAAAAAGTATTTTGCTTTTTTGTCGACTCTACTACTTGATGGGATACTATGAAGAAATTTGTTAAAACCAATTTAAAAGGAAGCAGTTAGACGAGATGGTCGTCAAAACACGTTGCTGTGAAAGCCCTCTTAAATAATTTGCCGGAAGTGGTGGAATCCTTGGAAGAACTTAAGCAAACTTCTCATGCTCCGGAAGCAAAGTACGAGGCAGGTAGTCTCTTAAACGCAATAAAGAATTTTAAATTTATATTGAACTTGATTGACGATTTGGGCAAATAATCTCCGCGAAATCAATCAAGTGAATATTGAAATTCAAAAGCAAGATATAATCCCTGCGCATTTCGTCTCTTTAAT